CTTAACACCAATCTGAGAGTCTCTCAGATTCTGCAATCAGCTGGTTCACAGCCAGCTAAAGCTGCTCAGCTTGTGTTTGACTTTCCCCATTCTAAGTTCTTCCACAACCGGCTGCCTGGCCTTTTGAATTCAACTGTCTCAGCTGCCACCACAGAGAAAGCTGTTTTCTGCCCACAGCCTCTTCCCTTTTCTCATTAGCTAAAGAGTAAAACTGACCATTCAAGGAAAAAGGACATAATTCATGATATTCTCCTAAGCTTCCTGTACTTTTATTTTAGAACTTCTACAATGTATTCTGCAAAGCCAAGAACACTTCTTTATTTCTTTCACTTTTTTCTTCTTTCTCCCTTTTTTCTTCGTTCTTTCCTCTTTCTCTCTAGAAGGTCTTCACTAGAGAATGACAGTTCTGAAACTCAGTTTGTCTCATCTTTTACAGACTTCATTTCAACTGGAAAAAATAAAGTGAAACTGACAGGTCTAAACCATAGTTCTCCGGCATAAAGTTTATTGTCACTAAAGCTACTAAGTAACTCCCTTACTTTTTTATTACATGTTTGCAGTACGTAATGATTACATTCAACATTGGGAGTTGGTACATGTACATAACACATCTTAATTCTTTTTACATCCACTAAATGCACCCACTTATAAGGGTATTTCAAATATTTTGGTTACATTAAGTACACAGAATATTAAGTATCCCAGCATTTACACGTACATCTTTATAACGTTTTTTGTTTGTCTTGGAATGTATTTTTTGTCATGTTTAAGACTGAATAGGATTAAGGGCAATGAATAGCAAGAATTCATTTCTATTTAGTAAGGTTGAAATTAGCATGAGATGACCTTTTTGGTCTTCATTTTTATCTGTTACTAGGTTAGTAAAACAAAACAAATCATCTAAGGGAAAAAATAAGAATGGTAAATATAATACCATATCCCTCCATGGAAGACTCCATTGCTATACATTACCCAGTATAGTTGGCAGTAAAAGAGACACCCAACCACTATGTGTAAACACACTTTATCTTCGAGTGCAAATATAGAATCCATAGAACAGTCTCTGCTGTGGGTGATTTCTTAGCCATTTTAGTAACATTTCTATAAGGCAGAAGGCTGCTGCACAATAAGGAGGTTTTGAAACATAAATTCCATACTAAATTATTGGCTGCTGTTCAACCCGTGTCTGCTCAGAGTACCCAGCAGCAAAGTATGTCCCAAACAAGATTCCAGATTTAAACAATACCTTCTTCTGCCTTTCCTATGATCTATAAACTTGAGCTCACAAACTATCAGCACCAAGAATTTTGTGTGCAACAAACTTTAAAATAAACAAATAACTACATTTAAAGTGTGGTAATGAAGCAATAATAGATTAAATTTATTGGAAAATCTTAATGTTTTATTCCTCAAACCAACTATATGAACCTTCAACCAAGTGTATGAAGAAACAGCATTATAATCTTCATTTTGCAGTGAAGAAACTGAGGCACAAAGAATAATTTGCCCAAGGTGACAGTGAGCTAAAATCTGAATCTAGGCCATCTGGCTCGCCTATGCTACTAGCTTTTCCTGACTCCCCTTCCATGACCTTATCCTTGTTACATCTTCAACCCAGATTTAAAGAAACAAAATATACTCGTATCCGTTTATGATTTATTCTATTGCTATATGTATTAAAATAGTTAATGTATAAACAATTTTACATTGCAGACTTTTCAGTCTCATTTATCTAAGCTGTTATCAAGCTTTTTTCTCTTAAACCTTCTTTTGCAATAGACCTCAGCCTGTTTGACAAGGTGCTCCCTTCCCATATTGTTGCCTTTCTAAAACTCACAAGTTTAATGACATAAGAAGACTAAACAAATGAATGAAAGTGTATATTAAACAAGCTCAGCAATATTTAAATCTAAGGCAACTGTTTTACAAAGAAATGCTCCTCTGCCTGAAAAGGAAAACACAATTAGCGCTATTTAGAATGTGAAAATCTCACATTTTTACTTCTAAAGAATAAGTAAAAATTATAGCCATGGGGAAATCATTGCTTAGTGAATATATTTCACAAGTTCCATTAGAAAAAATCCATAGTGATTATTGCCAAATACCCACTTGGAAGAGTAAGTTTAACCTCCGTGACCATCTGAGAATATAAAAAGAATGTTTTTCTTTTGGTGGATACAGAACAAATTGCTTCAAAAGCATGAGTCATGCTTGCTCTCACACAGTGAGGGTACAGGTTTCATAAGTGAGTAAAGATAGTACTGAGAAATATCTCACTTTTAAATGTCTAGAAAAAAGAACAGAAAAAGGATCATAACATAGTTAAATGTTTCAAAATTCCAGAGTCTAATCCATGACCCCCAAAGAGAAAGAATTGTGATTTAGATGAATCATACCAAAGGTAACTATAAATAAAATCTGGTAATGGAGGATGATAAAAGTCTGTGAGTGTTTAGAAATGTAGAGGTATAGATGCATACCCAAAGGATGGATAGATAGATAGATAGATAGATATCCTTTCAATTTCATTTTTGAGAGCTACAATATCATCTCCACAGTCAGGTACATGATCATAGTTAAAATTATATCTTTTTTGTGCATAAGAAAACTCAGAAATCTCCCCAAAGAGTTTTTGAGATAAAAGCTAATAATCATACTTGATTTTATACTGATCCATACTTTTTCACATACTAGTCAACAGAAAACTAAAGCTACAAGAGTTAATAGAAACCCACAGTGTGAATGGGGCTAGGGAGCTCCAAAGTCAAGGGATGCTTAGGATAATGCATCTAAATGGTCCTGGATTTAATGAGATAAAGCCTACTCCAAAGCACCCTAACTCCTAAAGAGCATCAAATTGTCAAACTAGGAAGGAATCAATCACTTCCAAAAGGTACAGTCTGGGCAGGGGAATAAGATATAGTGTTGAAATAAATGTTCACTGGGCTTGTGTTTGGAGAATGGTCCATATCTGAAACACTTGAAGCCAAGGGACCTTGCTGCTAAGCAGTGGGAGCGAGACAGGAACAGTCAAGTAGGTGCCAGATGATGGAAGGTTTCAGAATACCCAGCCGAGATGTCTGGCAGAAAACAGAAGTCCCAGTAGATAGCTGAGGAGTAGATAGACAAACACAGCAATGCTACAGAAGCATTAATCCTGGGGTCACGGGCAAGATGACCTGATGACCTGAATGGCATTGAGGGCTGGGAGAGAGCAACAGTAATACATTCCAGACACAGGGTGAAGAGGACAGGCCTCATGTGGTGGGAGACAAGGCAGCAGAATAAATCTTACAGAGAAGGAGAAATAGAAAGTTGAGGAAATGGGAGAACAGATCTGCAGAGTCATGGAGTTTGTTCATCTACTGGAGGGAACCATGTGCTCCAACCTGAGCTCATCTCGATTTTCAAGATTAAACTTACAACCATGAAGACAATTAATAATACTCAAAACTCCACTTCATCAGCAAACATGATTTTCACTCAGGGCCACATACAGTGTTTGGTTATCTAAAAACTGTTCAAATAACACCGAAAGAAATTACATGCCTAGAACTAATGGTAGATTTTGGCCTTACACAGGCATTTATAAGCCAACAATGTGACCCCTTCCTAGGATAAAGACAAGAAAAATGTAAGGTATTTAGTTCTGAATTTTCAAAACTCCTTTAAGACAAAGATACTTCATCCTTAGCAAAGCTCCAGGAGTTTGTTCTCCAATCCCAAAATCACCAGAGTATATCTGTACGATTCTTTGTATATATTCATTATATATGATTAGCTTTGCTTACTTTGAAAACTACTCAAGTGATAAGAATTACAAAATAAAATACATATCAAAATATGTGTGGCATTTCATTTTCCTGAAGAAATAGTTTTAAAAAACTAATTGGCTTTCCTTAAATTAGGAACATTGACATTCTTATTTGTCAACAAACAATTTGTTCAAAACTGGTTGTGGATAAATTCTTTTTCTTGCATTGACAAAATAGTTTCAAATAATTTTTTAAATGTGCTTCTATATCTTCTTCGATATTATCCTGAGGTTAGAACATTCACTCAAATTATTATGTTCATTTAAAAGAATGTTCCTTTAAATGAAGAAATGCAGTGACAGACCAGTAGGTGTCGATGCCCACCACACCATGGACACGCAGCCATAACCTGCCAGATCCAACATGCAGCTGCCCACTCTGAGCAACTCTGACAGAACTGCATGGTAACTCATGAGAAAGAGACAGCTGACCATCGGACAGAACGAGGACTTCCTTCCCACTGCAGTGAACATACTCGTACACACATCCATGCAACCTGAGAGAGAATTTTTTCCTGATAAATTCAGTTTAAGTTTTGTAAAACAGAATCTATGTCAAAGTCATTAATCGATTTATTTTAAGCTATAGACAACTTTCTCCTGAATTCTTATATTCAACAACTGCAGAAGCAACGATTTAATACCAGACATATTTTGTGCCAGCCAGAAGCATGGGGCTGACCGGTGCAGTGAGGCCGGAGCAGCACAAGGTGTACTGGTGTAATCAGAGACTCAGACACAGGCAGTCCGTCAGAAGTACAGCAGCAAAACACCACGCGGGACTTTTCTCTCCTTCACACACAGGCTGCTCAGCTAGTTTCAGTAAATGAAAGTTACTTTGCTTCTAAGGAAACATTCCTTCCCTTGCCTAACTACCCTCACAGCAAGCAGAGCTGGGGAATTGTCCCATGTCATATTTCTGTTTCCTACTGAAGAGGGATAACTTGGCAGAAATATTTTGACAGCTATTTTGATATCAAAAATTCTTTGTATTGAAAAAGGAATCGATACAACTCTAAAAGCTAAAGCTTCTGGCTTTTTAAAAAAAGTTCACAATGACTACACTAATTCCTAACCATGTTATCACGTGGTGGAACAGGAAGAATCAAAGGACACAGACAGAACAGGATCAGAGAGAACTCTGAAATTTCTTAAGAAAGGAAGTAGCTGTTTGTTTTGGTCTTACCTGATGGCAGCTTGTTTAACCCACGGGATGTCCTTTAGGAAGGTGGCTTATCCTTTGAAGAACCCAGTGGCTTGTCCTACAGCCCAAGGCAGACTCAGGTCCTGGCAAACTATCCAGCCCCAAAGAATACAGAGGGAAAAGCTTTTCCCACTTTCTTTGCTAGGACCAGCCAATAGCTGAAGTCATGCAGGAAACAGTGCTGGGGGGCCAGCAGCTTCTCCCTGAAATCCCGATCAGCACAGATTCGTAGTCGTATGTCTCCCACCCAGACTTTTGTTTAAAGTTTTTTCAACTGTTGCTAGGTGTTGTTGGGTTCTGAGATTGGGTTTCTCTGCTCTGTTCCCTTCACAGCGCTGTCAGAGCGATGGCTTTGCTGAGGAGCTGAGCTCCAGCGTGCTATATTTATCCAGTGTTCTCAGCAAGTCACGCCTGTCAACAGCTGAGGAGTTTGGAGCCGGCTCCTCTCAGTTCCCAGGCAGCTGGGTTATCAGTGGATACAGCCCCACTCATCCTGGGAAGATTCGGTGAGGCAACAGACCCTTTCAAGGACCTCTGCTCCCCGCACAGAGGTAATTACTGTTGGAAGCTCTTCAGGCTGTGATTTGGGACTTAGGTTTTAAAATCTGAAAAGAAACAGAACTGCAGTTGTCCTGGGCAGAGCAATTTACCAATGCAATATTCTTCTCAATTAGGCTCTCTCAGATAAGTGTTCTTGAGGTTATTTTTTTTTAATGCTTTTAAAAATGTATCACAACTGTTGGGAAATTTTGCAGTTGGAGATCATTTCCAAGCAGCTTTTGACATTGGGGTGCCCTATTTACAGTGAGATCACTTACCCTGTCACAAAAGACTTAACCAGCTGTCTACCCGCATACTACTAAAAGAAGTCTACCATAAAGTAATGTCTACAATGCTATGATTTTGAAAGGAGTACAGTTAAGAATGTAAATCTCAGCATTCTCACTCGGTCATTCATTCAAAGTAACACATGGCAAACGCTCCAGCAGAATCAGAACTTCAGACACCTCTAGTGGTAGGCACGCTCACCTCAATCTTAACTCTCCAGCCTCCAATCCAACGAAGGATCATTTCCACCCAGAGCTTCCACATAGAGAATGTCTCAAGATAATCTCTTTGTGGGCCAGGGATTTAGCTCAGTGGTTCCGTCGCCTGCCTTGCAAGTGCAAGGACCTGAGTTCGATCCCTGGCACCAAAAAGAAAAAAAAAAGATAATCTATTTGCTTCATTCTGTATTATAAAAGAATATGAATCTGCCAAGATTAGGAGATAAATATACAAATTGGGGAACTGTTTTACTAATTACATATATAAACAGTAGGAGGGGTGTTGAGAGGTCTTTTCATCCACAAGTATAGAGGGAGGGAAGGAGAGAAAGAGAGAGAGACATTGCTGGTTAGCAACCAGAATATTCCCCTGACAAAAATATCACCAACATTGTTATTGATTGATTCCTGAGATCAATTTATAAAAATATGTTTTGCAGTGCTAGGGATTGAATCCAGGGAAAGACACCCTCTTTTTGAATGCAAACACAAGATGGATCACAGAGATATGTGAAGGCACAGATTTAATATTTTTAAGAATTGCATTCTCGCAATATGCTGAGGAACCCTTGTGTCTTTCTGGGAAAGTTGACCATTTTATGCAGAAGAAGTGTGTGGGTAGGTGGTTGGATGTGTCCTTTATTTTTAAAGAAATGAGGGCCAGGGATTTAGCTCAGTGGTGCTGCCACCTGCTTCGAAAGCGCAAGGTCCTGAGTTCGATCCCCGGTACCAAAAAAAAGAAAGAAAGAAATGACCTTTACCTTTACAGTAAGTGGACCCCCACACCCCAAGCCATTGGAAAAGATCTTGGCTCTTCCCATCCCAGCCAACACACTAACAGCATGTATCTTTTCCCCTTAATTTACGTGTTACTACACACATGTAAAATTGCCTTTGTTCAGGCTCAGTCTTTCTGGAGCTAAGCCAATCTTGAACTTAATTTTTTTTTTTGTACCAGGGATTGAACTCTGGTCCTTGCACTTGCAAGGCAGGTGGCAGAACCACTGAGCTAAATCCCCGGCTTGAACTTAATTTTAAAAAGAAATTCTATTACGATGAAGGAGCACTGATGTGAAATGAACTGACTCTTCTGGAACACTAATGGATGCTTTTAAAACAACCTATTCCTAGTCCCTGAAAGTGGGTTCTGATAAGAGTAGGAAGTATGTGACTGAGCTATCACATAGTTCAGAATCACCAGGAGAACGTCTTCAAATATCATGAAGAGGTGGTGAGTGTATTATGCACACTCTTGCCCACACACATACCACATGCAACAGCCCAGGTGGGAAATAACGGAAGCCAACTATGAGAATATCACTTCTCCCCTGCTGACACTCACTCCATGAATGTATCCAACCCCAAACAAAGCAGGAGAATGGAGCCAAATGTCAAGATCTTGAGAGGAACAACCCTCTCTCCATTTATGGGCCTAGCTAATCCCACTGAAAGAGCAAGAGTTATTTCTTCTTTAACCTTTAGATTAGCTGTCCATTATTCCTGGTAGTTTTCTAAATGTGGTGACTAGCAATAGCATACAAAGTGCTGCATATAATTAGACACTGTTGTTACCTTCAGATCATGTTCTTTAATTGTACTAGGCATATGTGTATGACTGGCTAGTACACTATTCCACAGTAATCAGTGTTCTCCCTCTCCCGCAGTCACACACACACATGCACACACACACTATAAAGTAAAATTATTTTGAAGGCTTTCCTCTCCTGGGAACAATTATTCAGACTCAAGCATTTCCTACGGAATCCACAGAGGAAGTAGTGCCATTAAGAACGATTAGGAGTTTGTGTTTGGTGTACAGTAGATGAGGAACTGATTTTTCAACACATATTGTTAATATATTACCATTCAGCTGTACCCTTTCCCACAGCCTCAAGTGTGAGCATTCCGAGGACCTCTGGTAAACTGAAGCTCATTTCCCATCTCCAAGGATGAGTCATGATGAAATTTTTAAGCAAAAAGATAGATTAATGCTATCAGTGGGATGGGGGGAAGGCAAATGAATGAAAGTCATTATCTCTACAGCCATTTCTCAAACCAAACTTTCCCACCTTGTTCATTTCTTAATTCATAGTGATCTTTTAAACCAAAAGTTAATAAGTTTTTTAATTTACAGTAGAGAAAAATAGATATTTAATAGTTATTTACTTCAAAATAATGTTTACAGGAACAGTATTCGGGCCTGGGTATCTAAAGACTTGGATAGGAGTTCCTAAGTCACAGAGAATTTTTCTGTTTTTCCTTACCAAATGCCCAAGACTATAGTAACTGTTCAATAAATGGGAATGACTGAAAGAGCAAATTAACATACAAAAAATTAAACAGAAGCATACAGAAAATTCCCTCAAGCCCTCTCAAAACTTAGGTCATCATCACTTATGTATTAAAGTAGGAGAAAGAAATTCTTTGGTTGCAAATTAATTATCTTGACTTTATTAAAATTCTAAGTGAAAGATTATAGGATAACAATAAAAATGTTTATGCAATACTTACTAAAAGCCCAGCAGCATTCTAAGGCTTTGACATACACTAACCCACTTAATTCTCATACTCATCTTATAAGGTAGGTGTTATTATCATCTTTCATTTTACAGGCAAGAAAATTTAAGCACCCAGATGTGTGCTCAAGGAAGTTGGCCAAGGTCACATGTTATTAAGTAGCAGAACCAGAATTTGAACCAGAAAATCTGGTTCCAAAACTTTGCTATAACCACTTAGCTACTTCTGTATATTCAGTAGTCACAGTAGCCTATTCTTAGCGATCTTCAAGGTAGAGCAGGTGGACTCCATTCTTCAAGTGTATATCCTTCCAACCAAACGCATACCTTTTTTTTTGAGTGGAGGGGTGCTTGGGATTGAACCCAGGGCCTTGTGCATGTTAGGGAAGTGCTCCACCACTGAGTTACACCCCCACTCTTAAAAAATACACTGAAAGTTCCACAGCTTTGGAGGCAGATAGAAAAAAAGTGGAATAATTTTGTGTTGAGCATAACAAAATAAAAACTCAGTGGAACTGAAGTCCTGCAGAATATCAGAGAAGAGTATATTGGACTGAAAAAAGGATATTATTGTAGGGGAAAAAAGTTTTTTGGGGGGGGTTAAAAATAGCTTTATTCAACATACCAAAAACAGAGATATAAGAAAAATCCTACATAGTATAAACATAAAAATAGTTAACATAATTTAATATAAACCAAGCATTTAAAAATGTGAACTATTATAATAAAACACATGCTATTTATACAGAACCAAGTTAAAGCTATTTCAGCAATTATTGGATCAGATCAATCTTCAAGAAGTCATTAGCAATAAAACAAGCACAAAATCTTTATTTGTATTGGTCAATAGGAAAAGAAAAAGTCATTTTATTTACTTTACACAAATACAATTTATTGTGACATTTAAAGCAGAGACGCAAAAAGTGCCAGTTCTAGGATTCCAGGCAACCACTTCATGCGGTGGTTTGTAAATCATTCTACTGAAAAACCACTGAGCCTATTCTTTTATTTAAATACAAACTGGTTGATTCAATTAAGTTACTGCTTAAGAAAGGTACTAAATATATACTGCAAAAATAAACTTTTATTAAAAATGATCAAAGGTAAATGGAATATCAATCAGGTAAGAAAGCCAAAAGCATAAAAATTTATATATTTTTCCAGACAAGCCCCATAGTTATAATAAAAGTTAAGAAACTCAGTTTACAAAACCAGATGGGATATCAAAAGAGATTTTAAAAATATAAAACCCAAACCATATCCAAACAAACAAACCTAAGATAATATTTCTTGAAGAAAGTGGTATTTTGTTTATTCTCTCATTATCATGCAAAGCTCCCAAGAGATCTGTGGCTGATGTAACTATTTCTATGGAGTAGTGTTATCTTTAGTCAATAATCTAAAAAATCTGTAGCTATTGATCAGTTAAACATTTGGCTTTTGTTTCAAAAGTCAGCATTCATTCTTATACTGTAATTCAGGTACCTTTATGAGGCAGCATTAAATCTAATATTAGGAGTTTAAAATGTAAAATAAAGTTGTAAGAATAGATACCTAGTTATAGAATTTCTTATTCCTTTGTCTAATCCTGCACTGCTCAAACTTTTTGTCTCCAGGCCTCCATCCCAGGCAACTAGGGCAGAGAAGCTTAGCCGGTCCCAGCACCAGGAAGGAAGCTTCCCCACCATCACCCCAAGCTCCTAGGGCAGAGAAGCTGAGCCAGTCCTAGAACCCAGAAGGAAGCTCCCCTGCTGCCATCCCAAGCTCCTAGGGCAGAGAAGGTGAGCCGC